TCGGATACTACCTCAGCTCTTACTCAATGTTGTCGACGAACAACCTTAGATGAATAAGGTGGCACCCGGTAGATCTCCTTAAAGGTATCTTCACGCATAGTAAGTCCCGTATTTGCGAGGTGTTCCACAATGGTACAGGTGGTTTTCCTGTCCTCGGTAGCCAACCAGGCTGGTTTGTTTTCCTTGATCCTCTGGGAAAACTGTCTGATTCTTTTACGTATGCAGGTTGCCGAACTTGAACAAACAAATTAGTAGGTAATCATAGAAAAGGTAGTTGGGTAGCAACAGTAGCCATCGGTTTGTTTAACCCGTTGCGTTGTCACCAAAAGCTATTTGCTGAAACACTTCAACTGTCATGACCCCAGTGTGAATTCAGTCGCATGACTGGAGGTGATTCTTTCCATGACCTCATAACCCTTTCGGTTAACCCCTCATCGAAGCAGATGATGATTAACCTTGACTCGATCCTAACCCTCATGTGACATCCCTATTTCTATCCACTCAACATTCACTTTTGTTTGTTTGTAAGCCACACATAATCAACTAATTATATCTAACAATCAAATCCGCACACATATCAAACGTTATTCAAACGTGATATGCCTATTACCTATTTATATAACTGCATTAGCCAGAAGAGGAAGTTATCTATAAAACAAGCTTGTTCGCTATTTCGCGTTTTCTCAAATGTTAAACATTCCTTTGGTCATGGCCATGATTTTTGTATAATCATGCTGTTTACTGACAATGTTGGAGATCGCGTGAAATTTGCTAATGTGATGTCGCTTTCCGTTTTGTTTACAGATCAAGACAACCAACTTCCTTGAGAGGTGAGTGGCTTTGTGGTCTCCAGACCACTATTGTGGTCCTGTTACCTGCGAAGGGCTTCTCCCCCGCAGCCTTTGTTATAATCTTGTTTTCTCGGAAACATTGTCCTCAGTTAGCTCCCTATTTATGTTGCTGAAGGCGCTGAATCTATTCAGTTAAAATTTTCTTCACTGCACTTAGCTGAACACATCCCATGCAAAGTAAAAGAGCAAGTCATAGGTATTNAGTTATCTATAAAACAAGCTTGTTCGCTATTTCGCGTCTTCTCAAATGTTAAACAACCATCCAGAAAACCAAAGACAAATTTGTTTGTTTTAGAGCTGTAAAAATCAACAACTGCCCTTCAGCTAACTGCTAGTTGTGATCCGCTGGTAAAGCAACCCGTGAAATTGGCATCATTCGTCATTGCCAACAGTTAGGCATGCTTTTGGCGATCTAGCCCCTTCTCTCTTCCAAAACTCATGAACTGGTCTCTTCCCGTAGTTCCACTTATACCGTATATCTATTCACCACTCTCTTCTCACATATTACCCACCATGGTCCTGCATTTTACGTACGTAGCAGTTTGGTCGCTAGACGCATTCAAAACATAGGCGCTCGGGCTTACCGTAATACTACGTTTTATTTTCTTTCCATCTCTTTTCCTTTTTTTCGACTGTAGGACAACTTCATGTCTTCTTAATCCTCAAACAGGTGCATCATGCGATTTAAACAATTAGCGCCTTCTCCGAGGCATATTTTATCGCTCATGTCAAGAAAACAGTGCTCACGAGATGAAGTTTTCCGTCGTTTGGAGCTCCACGAACTTCTCAACGACCACCAACTCAGTATCCGCTACCGCAGGTCCATCATAGTTGATATGC